CTTACTGCGAGTTACAGCCCAAATATTTAAAAAAACATTGACCCACCTGTGGCTTTCAATGTCTCTCTTTTTAAAAAAGCTTTATTTATTTGAAAGAGTGACAGAGAAAGAGAGAGAGAGAGAGAATCTTCCATCCTCTGATTCTCTCCCCAGATAGCCACAATGGTCAGGGATGTGCCAGGCCAAAGTTAGGAGCCCACGTGGGTGCAGGGACCCAGGCACTTGGGCTACGATCCGCTGCTTTCCCAGGCGCATTAGCAGGCAGCTGGGTTGGAAGTAGAGCCGCAGGGACTGAACCTGTGCTCCACAAGTGGCGACCTAACCTGCTGTGCCACAATCCTGGCCCCTTGATTTCTCCTGGTGAGCTCCTGGTTAAAAAGCTGGTCAAATCTGGCAGAGGTGTGGGGTGTGTTGGTAGGGGGGGCAGGGGCCTGGGCTCTCACGACAAGGATCTGAAATGGGCCAGGGTCACACTGTCCAGGCAAATAGCCATGGAGTCCTGGCCTTGGTTTTTTTTTTTTTTTAGAGGTATAGTTACAGTCAGTGAGAGAGACAGAGAGAAAGGTCTTCCTTCCGTTGGTTCACTCCCCAAATGGCCGCTGTGGCCAGAGCTGCACCAATCCGAAGCCAGGAGCCAGGAGCCTCCTCCTGGTCTCCCATGTTGGTGCAGGAGCCCAAGCACTTGGGCCATCTTCTACTGCTTTCCCAGGCCATAGCAGAGAGCTGGACTGGAAGAGGAGCAGCCGGGATCTAACTGGCATCCACATGGGATGCCGCTAGTGCGCCACGGCACCAGCCCCCCGGCCTTGGTTCTTTCCTGCGTCCTGGAGCCGGTGACTCCTGGGGCCTCAGTGTCCCTACCTGCAGGAGGGGACTTGGGAAGCCTGCTCCCGGGGCACTGTGGGGATTTTCCAGGGCTGCGGAAGCTGCGGGTGGCTTGTGCAGGTGACGTTTCTGCTGTAGTGGAGCTGGTTCCTTCTCCTCACCTCAGGGGAAAGGGACGCCCACCGGAAGTCCCAGAGGTACCCAGACAGGTAGTGTGGAGGCCAAACTCCAAGGCGAGACTCCGCTGGGGGATTCCATACAGGTAAAGCCAAGTTCTGGACAACTCGGGACCTGGAGGAGAAGCCCCCTCTTTGTCCAGGGAACAGGAGGTCTGGGCTGGCTGCCACCTTCCTGCACTGGCTGGGCTCCCGGGAACATTGCCCACAAGTCTGAGTCACTGCTAGGAGCCACCCTGGGCCTGGGGTAGCTCCCTGCCCCCCACAGCTGCTTCTCCAAGCCCTGCCTCACTTGTCTGTCCCTGTGCTGGCAAACCTGTTTTCGGAGCAGGGAATGACGGCATGAGGGGAATATCTGGAATTCCTGGAGGATTTATAGCCCAGCAACTGGGACAGGTGTGAGTCGATGACCCCAGCCCAGCTCTGAGCCTGCCTCCAGCTTGGTTGTGGGCTCCATCCCTGGTTCAGGGCAGAGAGCACTGAGCCAGGAGCCCTGTTTCTAGAGCCAGCCTCTGACCCTGTCATGACCTCAGGCACCCCCCCCACCTCTCTTTCCTCAGTTTCCCCATCTGTACAACTCGATTTTTCCATCACAGTCAGAACTTGCATTCTTCTCTCATTCTGAAATCCCCAGGCAGGTGCCAGCCCAGCCAGAACCCTGCTGGCTCCCATTCCCTCCCCAGACCATGTGGGCTTCGGAATCCGGCTGGTGGGGCGGGCCAGAGCCGGGGTGGGCATCCTCTCTGCAGCCTGCATGGAGGGAGTGGGCTCTGGAAGCACAAGGTGCGCCCTGGGCACGGGCAGCAGCACCCTCGCCGGAGTGTGGACAGACAGACGGACAGAGGGACAGGGGAGCTTCTTGACAGCCCCCACTGCGTCCTCCCTTCTCCTCCTCTGCCTGATCTTGGATGTGGTCACTGTCCAGGACCAGTCAGAGGGACGCCCAAAGGCCCAGACCATCTCTGTACCCCTCCTCGCTAAACAAACCATCTCTCAGGGGCCAGGGGGCCAAGGTGTAGTCAGTCCCTCCCCTCACCCCGAAGTCCACCGGGTGGAATTGTTTTTTTTCTCTGCTGGGAAACGTGTCCAGACAGAGGCCAGCTCCAGCGCCTTCCCCTGACACCAGGCACCCCGTGACATCCTCACCCACCCTCTGCGCATGCGTTGGGTCCCTGTACCATGCCTGCTCTGCTGGGTGCTGGGATAAGGAGATCAAGTTCCCTGCAGGAACTGGGGCTGCTGGGCAGGGGGAGGGGCTCTTCTGACACATCTCTGCCCCCCACCCTAGCTCCCAAACTCACTCCCAAGGGCGTCTTTGCTTCTCGGCACCCAGACGGGTGCCTGTCACCTAACGGGGCTCCGGTATATTGCTGACAAAAAGGGAAAGTAGCTCACGCCTGTGATTTCGGGCTGAGGCAGGCCCGCAGTGCACAGTGTGGCCACGTCTCTCTCAGCTAGGAGCTTACTCCACGTGGAATGCTCACACACGTGCAATGACATCGGCGCCACGGCAGTCCTGTTAGCGAGAGGTGTCATTAGCGAGGGCGGAGCTTATGTTACGGTGCAGCTCCATAGAGCAGAGAAATGACGAGGACGCTCTCGTTGAAGACAGACTGGGGGACTGTAAGACACACTGCTGAGAAAGGAAGCAAGGGGTGAGCGGTTGGCACGGTGGTAAAGACAGCAGCTGGGACGCCCACCCCCCACACCCCACGCCCCACCCCCGGGGGGTTTTAGTCTGAGTCCCAGCTCTGTTTCCAGTTTCATCTTCCTGCTAATGCGCAGCAGGTGGCTGGCAGTGCGTGGGTCCCTGTTACCCACGTGAGAGACCTGCATTCAGTCCCCAGGTCCTGCCTTTGGCCTGGCCCAGCCCTGGCTGTTGCAGGCTTTTTGGGGGAGTGAACCAGGGGATGGGCTCTCTCTCTCTCTCTCTCTCTGTTTGCCAGTTTCTCTCTTCTTTATCTCTGCCTTTCAAAATATTTTTTTCTAAGAAAAAAAAAAAAAGGTAGTTGAGGGGCAGAGATTTGACATTGCAGTCGGAACCCCGCGTCCCAGAGTACCTGGGTTCTTTATCTGACGTCGGCTCCTCTTTCCAGCTTCCTGCTTACCCACACCCTGGCTGAGTCCCTGCCCCCAGCTGGACGAAGTTCCCGGTTCTCAGCTTCAGGTCTGGTCCAAGTCTGCTGTTGCAGACGTCTGGGGAGTGAACCAGTAGATGTAATCTCTCTCTCTCTCTCTCTCTCTCTCTCTGCCTCTCAAATAAGCAAACATTTTAGAAAACCACAGTGATCTAGTGCTACTTTCAGGAAGGAAGGAAGGAAGGAAGGAAGGAAGGAAGGAAGGAAGGAAGGAAGGAGGGATCCAGTGGAAGGGAATTCTTGAAAATAACAATTGCGTTAGGGCAGTGAGATTATGGGTCATTCTGTTGCTTTGTTCCGTTTCCCTAACTTTCCATTATGTGGCTTTGTTGTTATTTTAGCAGGAGCAGGACTGGATTCCACCCACAAAGTCCCACTGATTTGTGTAAAGAGCCGGAGCTCCTACTTGCACTTGGTGTTCATTCCAGGTTTGAAGAGCCACCGTGCTGCTGGCTGCTGGCTGCTGGTGGTGGTGGGGGATTGTGACTGGGTAAAGGGGAAAGAGAAGTAAACATTAGAGTACCCTTCACCCTCAAAACCTCTGAGTCAGCGAACGCAGAGAGTTCCCTGTCTCCCGGGCTTGGTGCTGGCACAGCACAAGAGGGGCAGGACCCAGTCTCTCGGGCCACCTGAGCTCTGGCCGGGCCTCAAAAAGGACAATGCTGCTGGCAGATGCAAGGCCAGGCTTGGAAGGCAGCACGCAGCTTCCCCAGGGGTCAAAGTCACAGCTGTGCAAGGGCCCCACCTGCCCTGCCGCAGGGAGCACACGTCCACCCAGAAGCTTCCGGGCGGAAGCACACCATGCACGATTGCACAGCAAAGTGCCCAGTGAAGGCTGTGGTCACACAAGCTCAGTGGACCTGGGTTCCGCGTCTGGGTCTGCTGTTAACCACCTGTGAGGCCCTGGAAAAGTCATTTTGCCTTTTGGAACCTCGGTCCCTTCTATCTATGAAACAGGGGCAGTGTCGTAATAATGGACGGTACTTGCCTCGACTGCTTCCAAGGTTTCAGGAGGACCGTTGGCCTCGATTATATAAAACCACTGTAAAAGAACAGGTCAACCAAATGTGCTGTGCCCATGCAACACAATGTTGTTCGGCGGTAAGCAGGTAGGGAGTGCTGATGCGCACTGCCACATGGATGAACCTTGACAGAAGGGCGGGTGTCGCGGAGCAGCAGACTAAGCTACCACCTGCAGTGCCAGTGCTATAATGCAGCACCAGTTCCAGTCCCTGCTGCTCCGCTTAGGATCCAGCTCCCTGCTATTGCACCTGGGGAGGCAGCGGATGGTGGGTGGCTCAAGTGCTAGGGCCCCTGCACCCACGTGGGAGACCCGTATGGAGGTCCTGGCTCCTGGCTTTAGCCTGGATGGTTGCAGCCATTTGGGGGAGTGAACCAGCGGATGGAAGATCTCTCTCTCTCTCTCCATCTCTGCATGTCACTCTACATTTCAAATAATAAATAAAATAAATCATTAAAACAAACAGAAAAAAATGGTATACAGGAAGAAGTGGGGCACAAAAGACCCCAGCTGTGTGGCTCGCTGTATCTGCAAAACCCAGGACTGGAAAAGCCAGAGAGGAGAGCTGGGGTGGGGCTGGGGTGGGGCGGGGCTGGGGCTGGGCTGGGGTGGGTGGGGCTGGGGCGGGGCTGGGGCCGGGCGGAGGTGCCTGCTTGATGAGCCTGCTTCTGAGCTGATGGGAACGGTCAGGAACAAGACAGTTGGGTTGCACAACCCTCTGATGTACGCAACGCCCCGGTGCGGCACACTTTAACATGGCGAAATGGCCAATTGTGTGTGAATATCTTCCCCCAGCTTTTAAAGGCTGGAAAAAAAAAAAAGCAGACTCAATGATCCAAATCTGAGTTTTTTTATTACGATATTGTAGGATGATATTCTGTATTAGACACACAGAACTTCAGAGTTAGTCCTGTGTACCAAGGCAGGAGAGAAGTGACTAGGAAAAAAAAAAAAAAGGTGACCCTCACCCTGAAAGGTGCTGGGCCCGGGGACAGGCGTCGTTCAGGTTCAGCTGTGGGACAGGATGATGGGTGGGGGGGGGTACCCGGAGGGCACGGCCAGGGAAGCTGCTGACCTGGGGATTTCAAAACTGTCTGCGTGGGCTCACCCTTTAATTCGATGGCCGTGTGATCCTTTGGGGAGATTAACACACACACACACACACACACACACACACACACCCCGGCTTCCTGCCCCCACGCCGTTTCCCAGCCGGATGGGGGCCGCTGCTTCCTGGTGCCTGCCCTCGGGGAGGGGCAGCTCCTGAGCCACCGCAGAGCCGCAGGGACTTCTGATGACAGGGCTCAAGCGGGACGTGTGGATGACTGTGAAGTGACGGAACGATTCACTCATCTGCGTGCACGTCAGCCGAGCACAGAACACCGTGCCTCCTTTTCACCGTCGCTGACACAGTCTGTCTCCTGCGCCCCACCTGGCCAGGGCGGGGACATTTCGGCCACACCTAACAGATAAACTCTCAGTCACCTCACGCACTGGGCCTTTATCCCCCAGGCTCCCGCCTCCATGCGGCCCTCCTCACCCCGCTAAGACACACCCTCTCTGCCCGGTTTCCTAAACTTCCCTGTAGCAAAGAGCTTGGATGGGCTGGCGCTGTGGCACTGTGGGCTGAGCCTCCCTGTGGGATGCCCATATCCCATGTCAGGGTCCCGCCTACTCACTTCCGGCCCAGCTCCCAACTAATGCATCAGGGAAGGCAGTGGGAGGTGGCCCAAGTGCTTGGGGCCCTGCCACTCACGTGGGAGACCCAGAGGAAGCTCCTGGCTTCTGGCTTCAGTCTGGCTCAGCCCTGGCTATTGTGAGCATTTGGGGAAAGAACCCTCAGAAGGAAGATCTCTCTCTCTCTCCTTCCCTCCATTGCTCTGCTCTTCAAGTAAGTAAATAAATAAATCTTTAAAAAAATAATACCTAACACTCATTGACAACTTACTATGTGCAAGGCATTGTGGTACATGCACTCATGGATTATTTTCTTTAGTTTCCAGGCAAGGAAACCCAAGCACAGAGCGCTTAACCCAGCTGCCCAGGGTCACCCCTGCAATAGTGGGAGAGACAGGATTTAAACTGATGTCTGCATAACACCAAGAGTGCTCTTCACCCCTAAGATACCTCTCCCCTGCTTGAATTCAAGGCCTGTGGGGAATGGCCTTCTCTACCCTTATTTGTAGCTGTAGAGATGCGGGCTGGGCAAGGGGAAGTGACCAGCCTGAGGACACAGAACTGGTCAGTAGCAGGGCTGGGAATGGGCCCCAGTCCTGCACTCCTGACCCGGTGCTCCTCCCCCAGCCTTGGTGCCTCTGCCCTGGCATCGCCGTCCTGGACACTCAGTGGTGGCCACCACAGGGCGCTGCCCGTCCACCTGAGGACACTCGGGGCTCCTCAGGGCACTGCACTCTGCCCCCACGGGCGTCCTAGCTTCACAGAGTCCCTAAACCAGGAGGGGCCCATCAAGGGCACTGCTTCGATATCACCGCACCATAAACCTCTACTCACTGATTCTCACGTGCACAGTCTTGCTCATGGCCGAGCCATTTGCAGTCTGCTTCTCTCTGGTTTGCCGATTTTTCGGAATCGAAAACGCACATGGGGCTGGCAGCCCCATTGGGCCTCTGTGAACCCCCGCTCCCCGGTTTCACCTGCGCCAGGTGGGAAGCCCCGAGGCAGGGAAGTCCTGTGGGTGTGAGTAATCGGGGTGAGAAGCCTTCTGACCTCCAGTCACAGGATCATCGTCCCGGCACATTTCACAGGCCGCAGGGGGAGTGCCTGTTCCAAGTGAGGGAAGAAGCGGCATCCATGTGCATTCGGGGAGTGGTGCCGTGGCCGGTCCTGTGCTCAGCCTTTGAACTGAATTAGTTCATCGGATTCTCACCCTTGCTCTGCGAGGTTGGTAATTCAAGCAGTCTTCAAAAAGTTCATGGAAGATGAGTGTTAGGAAAAAAAGTGGGTACAGATTTCAAAACCTTTTTGCAGCACACTTTATCTTTGACTTCTATTTCCCACGAACTTTGTGACGTATTATCCCCACTTTACAGGCGAGGAAATCAAGGCTCGGAGCAGGTAGCTTGCCTAAGCTCTCTGCTTGTAAATGAGCTGCTCTGGGATCTGAACTCAGCCTGTGGGACTCCAGAGACTGTCTCAAGGGTTTCAAGGGCAAAAGCCTTGGCAAAGCTCCCTCTGGGCCAGCCCCAGGGAAATCCAAGGGAATTCTTGGGCCTTGGAGCTCATCTCCCACCTTCTGCCGCCAGCCGGGGTTCCATTCCACTCGCCCCTGTTCCCGATCCTCCCCGGGCTGGCAGCTCCCGGTCACGTGGCATTCTCTACGGGAGCTTACTCTTGTGCGCCCATCCCAGCTGGCGTTTTTGGGCCTCAATGGGGAAGTGTCCTGGAGCTATCCACCAAGGCCTGCCCCCGCCACACCCCTCCCTGAGGGGACTCCTTACCCTGGAACCTGCCCCCAGGGCCCCAGCTGATCTCTTCCTGATGGACACTTGACCTAAGTCAGCTCAAGGGCAAACGGCTCACATACTTGGGCGTTGTAGGATCTTGCTTGGCAAAGAGGAGTTGTGCTAATCTGATGCCTTTGGGAAGTGGACATTCAATCACTTGTGTGATAAAGGTTGTCTCAAAGAGGACTGGAAGTGGGGAGAAGTATACTGATGAGCCTTGGACTTGATGAACAAAGAAACCAAGCACAGGCAATTAAAGAACAGAGCAAGCATATTCCAGAGGGTGGCAAAAACCTATGTAAATATCTGTTTACTCGCTGAAGCCTTCCGGAAGTTTATGGAAAATGGAATTTTATTTTGGGGCAAAAAAAAATTGAAATCCATGCAAGGAGTCTTCCAAAAATTCATGGAAAATTTGCATGGTGAAAAAACCATGCATGGATTTCAAACTTGTTTTTGAAAACCCTGCCACAAGGCCCTGCTGTGCTATGAGCGCTGTCCCTGGAGTCTCCTGGGCTCCTCCATATCCTTCCATGCAACCTCCTGATGTGAACTGATGGCTCCTTTTCCATGAAGCCATAGAAGCTTTGTCTAGAAGGGAACCCGAGATAATTTACGAAGTTTGAACTTCCTCACAACTGGTCAAGGACACTCTGGGATTAAGAGATCCCAAAGTGCTCCAACCCACAAGTGCCAGGCAGCAGATTTCAGGCAGTGGGAAAGGCGGTCGCCTCATGTTCCAGGGACCTACTGCTGTGGAGACCCCGCCCCAACTTAGAGACCTGGAGCCAGCCTCGTTTCCACTGCTCCTGAGTCCATCCTTGGGGCAGGGCTGGCTGGGGACAGATGGTTTCTGCTCCACTCGGTGTCAACAGGGTGTCTCAAAGGCTGGGGCTGGGATCATCACTCTCTGGCTCACTCACTGACTCATGCATTGTGACTGTAGATTCATGCTGGCTGCTGAATGGGCCTTGGCCAAACACCCACATGTGTTCTCTCTGTGGCTTCTCCCCTTCCTTATGGCGTGGTGGTTGGGTTCCAAGAACAAGCACTCCTAGAGGGCTGGGCAGAAACTGTATCACTTTCTGTGACCTAGCCTTGGAAGTCTCATGGCCTCAGGGGCCCACTTGGTTTCAAGGCAAGAGAGCGTATGTTAGGGTAGACTGTTAGCATTATATTGCATATTGGATGGGAGATATTGTGGTATGGATGCTTGGAAAATATCACCTACCACACAGAGCTAATGAGCTAGACATTAGCAGGACAGAGAAAGTGGAATAGTCCCTGGCCCAAATTTAGTCCACTATATGTAAATAGGCAGCAGTAGACTAAGAGGTTAAATAAAGCTACTGCTACAGTGAGGAGACAGAATCATAAAAAGCAGAGAGAAGTATAAACACAGAAGAACATTTAATGCAGGTGGAAACAGCCTAGCAGATCTCAGTATGTTCTGGGAGTCTATTTAAGAGTATGCTAGTGTTGGGGGCCAGCGCCATGGCGCACTAGGTTAATCCTCCGCCTGCGGCGCTGGCATCCCACATGGGCACTGGGTTCTAGTCCTGGTTGCTCCTTTTCCAGTCCAGCTCTCTGCTGTGGCCTGGGAAAGCAGTGGAGGACGGCCCAGGTGCTTGGGCCCCTGTACCCGTGTGGGAGATTAGGAAGAGGCATAGCTCTGGCTGTTGCAGCCATTTGGGGGGGTGAACCATTGGATGAAAGACCTTTCTCTCTGTCTCTCTCTCACTGTCTGTAACTCTGTCAAAAAAATAAATAAAAAATCTTAAAAAAAAAAAAGTATGAACCTGAATTCTCTTGTTAAGTAGGTAGGCATGGAGTGATATATATTTGGAATGATTTACATCATATATTATATTTTAAAAGAATGATTTATTTATTTGAAAGTCAGAGTTAGAGAGAGAAAAAGAGAGGGGAGAGGGAGAGAGAGAGAGAGAGAGAGAGAGAGAGAGAGAGAGAGAGAGAGGTCTTCCATCTGCTGGTTCACTCCCCAAATGGCAGCAATGGCTGGTGCTAGGCCAGGCTGAAGCCAGGAGCCAGGAGCTTCTTCTGGGCTACCACGTGGATGCAGGGGTCCAAGGCCTTGGGCCATCTTCCACTGCTTTCCCTGGCCACAGCAGAGAGCTAGAAGTGGAGCAGCTGGGTCTCGAACCAGCATCCAAATAGATGCCGGCACTTCAGGCCAGGGCATTAACCTGCTGTGCCACAGCACCAGCCCCTCTATTATCTTTCAACCTCTCTTGCTATTGAAGAGAATCTGCTGTTAATCTGTTTTAGTTCCTTTGTAGATCATCTGTCTTATTTTCCTGTTGTGTTTAAGATTTTTCTTTTTGTCTTCTTTGTACTGCATTTGCTCTTGTCTATGTGTTCACTTGTGGAATTAAAACATTCTTCTGAGGGAGCCACATGATCTTTCAATCTGATGATACATGTTGTCTAATGAAGAATTTGTGTGGTCAGTTTTGGGTTCCTGGGAGCAAGCTTCTGAACTCTTAGAATGTCCCCAGAGACAGAAATGCTTTGTCATCATGATGAGGCCCCCACACTGTACCTGGATGTATGTAAATGAGATGATTTAGGATAGGGGCTGGTCACACCAGACTGCCCAGCCATACGACCAGAGGGCTGGGGATTTGAGCCATGTGATATTAGGCCATCCTCCGTCAGGGAGCGGTGAGCTGGAGACTGGCCAATGATTTCACCAGCACGCAAGCATTAAGAAACGTCAATATTCTGCGCACTAAGGCTCTGGTGACCCTCCTGGATGGTGAACGCATCAACGGCCTGGGAAGGCGACGTCCACACTCCATGGGGAGAGGGCATGGAAGCTCCAAGTTTGGGACCCTGTGGGTCTCTTCCTTTGGCTGATCCTGATTTGTATCCTTTGAAATAAAACTGTAATCCTAAGTTAGCACTTTTCTGAGTTCTATGAGTTTGCCTAGCATATGATGAAACCTGAAGGGATCATAGGAGCCCCCACCCTTGTAGTCAGCTAGTGAGAAGTGTGGTTGGCCTGGCAGCCCTTGACCTTGCAACTGGGGTCTTAGCAGGGTGATCCTACCGCCCTTAACTTGGGGAGCCTGGGTGAACACCAGGTGGTTGCTGCCAGAACTGCATAGCAGTGCTCCTACTGTGCGAATCTTTCTTCACTCTAGAAAGATTTCGGTGTTAGACACAAAAGCTCAGTCAGACCCTGGATTGCTAAAAACCTATAATGACTCCCCATTGACTGCTGTTCCAACGTGAGCCGGCTAAGGCCCCTCCCCCATTAACTAGGAGAGAAATAACATCAGACCTCTGGATACGGATAGGCAGGTAGCTAGCAGGTGGCAAGGAGTTAAAGGCCACTGACACAAAAGCCACATGTGCACTGCTCAAGTCCCAACACTTTCCGCACGGATTCAACACAGTTGAACACTCGGCACACCCGCTCTGCAGCACACGGCCAAGCCTCACTTAGCATCACACAGCAGCCGACACGACGCCTTCCTGCAGATCACCGCGTTCTACAGCCCCACTCCACACGCTGCCTCCTCCAAACATTCAGGCAGGCCCTGCTCTGAGCACCACCATTTATCCTTAAGGAGGTGGGAAACTTCTGGCTCATGGGCCATATAAGGCCCTAAAATCATCTTGTCTGGCCCCGCCAAGGCAATGGCAAGTGGGCCTCAAAATGCCACAAACTTATAGCAAGCTAATTTTTAACCTGAGTTTGTATGATCTGCCAATGATGTCATAACCCTCCAAGGGGCCCTTGGCAGACAAGTTTCCTGCTCCTGACAGACCAGGCCAGCTCGGGCGGGGCGATTCTCCCTCATGAGCCCGCATGAACGCCTTAGTGGGTACTAACACTTTGCCTTTGAATCCACCATGCTTTCCTGCTCACCTCTACTTATTTCTCTTGGCTGTATTCCTACATGCAGGAAGACAAGAATCCAGACTAAGTCTAGCTTGGGGTCTCCCTGAGCCCAGCTGGGGCTCCCAATCCCCACAGCACTTTGATGTTGAAATAAGAAAATAATAAGGGGCTGGCATTGCGATTCAGCAGATAAAGCCACTGCCTATGAATGCTGGCATCCCATATGGGCACCAGTTCATGTCCCGGATGCTCCACTTCTGATCCAGCTCCCTGCTAATGCACCTGGGAAAAGCAGTGGAGGATGCCCCAAGTTCTTGGGCCCCTGCTACGCATGTAGGAGACCTGGGAAAAGCTGCTGGCTTCAGAATGGCCCAGCCCCAGCCTCTCCTCTCTGTCTCTCTCTCTCTGTAATTCTGACTTTCAAAATAAATAAATATTTTAAAAAGGCAGTCTTGGGGCTGGCATTGTGGCACAGCAGTTTAAACCGCCTCTTTATGCCACTGGCATCCCTTGGAACACCAGTTTAAGTCCTGACTGCTCCACTTCCGATCCAGGTCCTTAATGCACCTGGGAAAGTAGTGGAAGATGGCCAAAGTACTAGGGCCCCTGCCACTCATGTGGGAGACCTGGATGGAGTTCCTAGCTCCTGACTTTGGTCTGGATTGGCCCAGCCCTGGCCTTTGTGACCATTTGGGGAGTGAACCAGCAAATGGACTCTCTCTCTCTTTCTCCCTCTCTTCTGTCATTCTGTCTTTCAAATAATATAAACATTAATAAGGGGGTGTGTGTGCGGGCATTCTTCATGCTCTGTCCAGATCATCTTAAATCTCTTTTCAGGTTCTGTTCCCACTCCTGGTTTCTATGTATCTTTATTTTTTCTTCTTCTTCTTTTTTTTAAGACTATTTATTCAAAAGTTAGAGTTACACAGAGAGATGAGAGGCAGAGAGAGAGAGAGAGAGAGAGAGAGAGAGAGGTCTTCCCTCCGATGGTTCACTCCCCAGATGGCCGCAACAGCCGGAGCTGTGCCGATCCGAAGCCAGGAGCCAGGAACTTCTTCTGGGTCTCCCATGTGGGTGCAGGGGCCTAAGGACTCAGGCCATCTTCTACTGCTATCCCAGGCCATAGCAGAGAGCTGAATTGGAAATGGAGCATCTGGGACTCAAACTGGCACCCATATGGGATGCCGGCGCTTCAGGCCAGGGCGTTAACCCACTGTGCCACAGCGCTGGCCCCATATGTGACTTTGTTTCTCAAGCCATACACCTGTGACTGCTTTTGGACAACAGCTGTATGGCTCCTGGAGCTGCTTCCCTCAGATGGAGAATGCTGGAAGTGCCTGGTTGTCTATGCTCTGTGGAGCAGCCATGGGAATCTGGAGCTAAGCTTCTTTATCCCGGGCTGAGATAAACTCTCAGGTATAACATACACTGCAGTCAGGCTGAGCCCAGGCCTTGGCCTGAGTTTATACCCTCACTTGGCTGCATCTCCTTTTCTGTCCTGCACCTCCCCCCACACTCCTTTCCTGGATTTTCCTAGGAACACTTCCTTAATAAACCACCTGCCCGCAAATCTTTGACTCAGGGTCTACTTCTGGGGAAGCCTAAGCTAAAACAGTTCCCCATTACTCACCAGCCAGCAGGTTGCCATGTGATTGGCCGTGCCTGGGAGGAGGGGAGTCTGTTTCCCAGGCCTCCGGGAGCCAGGCGTGGCCCAGGGAGAGGCTCCTGCCAGCTGAGCATGGTAAGGAACCACGTACACAGCCCATGACTCCACTCTTCAGAGTCATCACATGGTGCTGCAAACGCTCTTTCCTCGGGTCTCACATCAAGACAGACAAATGGATCCACGGCCAACAAACAGCCAACATGCAACCTGAGCAAGAACAAACATTTCTTATTGTAAGATACTGGGGTGTCAGGGGCCGGTGCTGTGGTGCAGTGGGTTAATGCCCTGGCCTGAAGCACCAGCATCCCACGTGGGCGCCGGTTCACGACCGACCGCTGTACTTCCAATCCAGCTCCCTGCTAATGCCTGGGAAAGCAGTAGAAGATGGCCCAAGTCCTTGGGCCCCTGCACCCGTGTGGGAGACCTGGAGGAAGCTCCTGGTTCCTGGTTTCAGATCAGCCCAGCTCTGGCCATTGTGGCTATCTGGGGAGTGAACCAGTGGATGGAAGACCTCTCTCTCTGTCTCTGCCTCCCTTCTCTCTGTGTAACTCTGACTTTCAAATAAATAAATCTTTAAAAAAAAGATATTGAGGTGTCAAGCTGTTACTGTGGCCAAACCCAACAGATATAACATGGGCGATGTAGTATGGTTGGTTAAGAGCACACTCTCTGGAGTTAAGCAGCGTAGGGTCAAAGCCAAGTTCCACTACTGTCTAGCTGTATAAACTTGGTCAAGGGACTCCAAGAGCCTGTTTCTCCATTTGTAAAATGGAGACATTAATGACATCCATTTGATACTGTTATTGTAGGGATCAAATGAGTTAATGTATATAAAGTGCTTCTGGTAACATCTGGCATATGATCAACCAGTATTAACTCCAGTGAGCCGTATTTATAAACTGCCCTAACCCATCTCCAAGCTTTCCATGTTTTCTCCTACAACCATGAAACTTGTTGGTTGCCTCCTATAATGGATTGAAATGCATCCTTCCTAGGGTCATGTGTTGGGATCCTAATTCCCAGTGTGCTGCTGTTAGGGGGTAGGGACTTGGGCACATGACCCAGTCACGAAGGCAGAGCCCTCATGAATGGGATCAGTGCTCCTATGAAAGGGACCCCTGAGAGTTCTCTCACCCCCTCCTTCCACCCTAGGAGGATACATGAAGACTGCAACTAGGAAGAGGGCCCTCACCAGAACCCAGTCACAGGGGCTCCTTCTCAGATGTCCAGTCTGTAGAATGTTGAGAAACACATTTCTGTCATTCATAAGCACCCAACCCATAGTGCTTTGTGGTAACACGTAAAAACTGATTGACCTCTCCCAAGCATCTGCCCCATGCCTCCCCTCTCTCAGTTTCTATTTGGGGATCTACACAGTTTGGGGAAAATAATTTCACTGTGAATTTAGATGGTTTCTGCTGCGAAAAGACAAACTTAACAACACATTTACTTAGAAGCTCTGAGCTGGCTCAATCTGCAATTCTACAATCAGGCAAACTGCATTCTGTTACTAGAATAAGCACTGAGATGCGACGAGCTGAGGAGTTTGATTTTACAGAAAGGGAAAGCAGAAACAGAACACAGTGTGGCTTTGCTGTTCCAGTTACTTTCTTTGTAAAGGTTAAAACGGGGAAACCCCTCATTCGGCCACCTAACACCAGCGTGTTTGGGGATTCTCTCTCTTCTGGTTTCTTGGAAGGTCAACTAAACACATGCAACTTTAGCCCGAGTGACTCCATTTTGGTTTGGTCAATGGGACCTAGAACAGGAGCTCAGCTCAAACCATAGGGCTTCCTAGTAATTTTATTTACCATCTAAAATGAGCCAAAGAACAGTATCATACTGGTAAACCATTCCCAGAAGGCAGGACAGTGAAGCTGACTTCCCCAGGGTAAATATTCCCTCCAGGGCTAGGTGTCATGGCATAGCAGGTAAAACCTCCGCCTGCGGCACCAGAATCCCACATAAGCTGCTGCTCTGAGTCCCTGCTACTCTATGTCCAATCTAGCTCCCTGCTAATGGCCTGGGAAAGCAGTGAAGGATGCCCCCACGTGGGCCCCTGCACCCACGTGGGAGACCAGGATGAAGCTCCCAGCTTCAGCCTGGCCCAGCCCTAGCCACTGAGGTAATTTGGGGAGTGACCCAGTGGGTGGACATCTCTGGCTGTCTCCCCTCTAACTCTGCCTTTCAGATAGATAAATAAATAAATCTTTTTTTTTTTTTTGGACAGGCAGAGTGGACAGTGAGAGAGAGAGAGACAGAGAGAAAGGTCTTCCTTTTGCAATTGGTTCACCCTCCAATGGCCGCCGCGGCCGGCGCACCGCGCTGATCCGATGGCAGGAGCCAGGTGTTCCTCCTGGTCTCCCATGCAGGTGCAGGGCCCAAGCACTTGGGCCATCCTCCACTGCACTCCCGGGCCACAGCAGAGAGCTGGCCTGGAAGAGGGGCAACCGGGACAGAATCCGGCGCCCTGACCGGGACTAGAACCTGGTGTGTGTGCCGGCGCCGCAAGGCTGAGGATTAGCCTAGTGAGCCGTGGCGCCGGCCAAATAAATCTTAAAAAAAAAATTCCCGCTATGCCAATATGAGGCTACCGGGGGTTTAACATCTGGTTTGCAAAGTTCCCAAATATTTAGCAATGGCCTCGTGAGCCAGTAGTAGCCGGCTGCAGCACATCCCATGCAACACTTGAAGCCAAATATCTACTGCAAGTGGCTCCCGTCAGTGCGACTCTCGGGCATCTTGTAAGTAATCAGACATACACAATCCTCCCCCGCTCCCAAGTTGTAAAAACGGAGTTCTCCAAAATGTATGCAATCACCAATACCTGACCAACCTGATCTAGGACAACCAGGATAACGGATGGAATACACACGAAACATGGAGGAAGGAAAGGATCCAGACAAGGCAGGAGGCGGAAGAGCAAAAGCAGACCTGACGCACGAGCACTGGGGATTTTACAAAAAAGGCGCTCATCGTCCCTCCACACGCGCACTGATGGGGGGGGAGGGGGCTTTGACTGCACGCCCTCACCCAGCATTTTCCTCCCTTGGCTGTATTTTCAAGACAACAGATTCTCTATCACGGGCAAGAAATTCAGATAGGGCCTCTGGGGCGAGATTCCGGCTTTTCTTCCCAGGTTTTTGGGCCACGCAGAGCTCGTTTTTCCGTGCGTGGATTCGCCCGCAGCCAGCGTGCTGTCAGGCGCTGGGTGGGCGGCCTTCTCCGCCCACGCTGCCCGTCACTCAGCCGTGCGGTGGGGACAGGAGTCCCAGTGGAGTAGGACAGCGCAGCCAGCGACCCTCCCCGGCAGGTGAGGAGCGACAGAGCAGCGCGGCGCGCTTCCCCCGTCGCCACAGCCTGCATCCCGCTTCCCGCCCCCGCCGCTTCCCGGCGGCCCGCGCGGTGGGCGTGGCCCGCTTCCCAGAAGGCCCCGCCCCCGCAGCCTGGCCGTCGCGGCGCGGGCGGACGCCTGGCCTCATCGGGCCAACCGCCTTCGTGCCACCTCACGCTGTGCTTCCCCCACACGTGTGCGATAGGCACGCGCGGCCGCCACACAGGACAGCACGCCGCGATCGGCGCACAGCGACACGCCCCGCCTCTCCACCTAACAAAGCCCGCGCGCCCCTGCACACGGAGCATGCGCGCGGGCTTTGTTAGGTGGAGGGGCGCGCGCGCGCGCGCACACACACACACACACACACACACACACACACACACAGCTGCACGCGAAGTGCGCGCAGGTCGCCGCCTCGCGCGTGGTGCACAACTCACAGGCTGCATACAACCGGCGCTCACTCCGCCCGCCAGTGACAGGAACACCTCCCGTGACACACATTTGCGCACACGCTGCGAACTGTGCGTCTGATGGATTTGCGCGGGGCCTCTCACACCCACATGCCACACATATGTCGCCCTCCTCACAAGCGTTCCACACCACACCACACACAGAATCCATATTTACACCCCTGCTGAGAAATACAGCGCACATTCATCACGGACCAACGGCATGCCACAAAAAAAACCCAGGCAAGCGCCCTACCCGGGTGCACACGTCACACCTTCGCATACATGGCAGACATAAACCCAATAGAAACCCAGTGTCTCACTAGGTCCGCAGCGCACCCAATGTTTACAGCCATGAATAGTCACACACACACACACACACACACACACACACACCCCTCAGCACCCGGCATACATTTAATCCGCTCCTACCACCACACCTCAGCCTCACCCACCCAACCCCCAAGTGCACCTAGAGTGACCTGGAGGGGCTCACTTTTACCACTGGGTCCCAGGAAACCCCTTAATCCTTGGCAATCCAGATGGTTACTCACCCCACACCTTGTTCAAACTCATCCTGCCTGACCCCCAGCGTGTATTGGTGATTGAACCTGCCGGCGGCGGGGCAGGCTTGGGACTCCCACATTCCGTATCCCAGGGCCCGAGTGTAATTCCAGCTCCTGTCTCCGGCTTCCTAGGAACGCACACCCAGGGAGGCAGCAGGTGATGGCTCAAATGCTTGAGTCCCTGCCAGCCACATGGGAAACCCGGATTGGATTCCTAGATCCTGGCTTCTGCCTTGCCCAGGGCCAGCCGTTTTGCAGACATCTGGGGAGTGAGCCAGCGGGTGGAAGCTCTCTGTCTCTGTGCCTCTCTGAAAACATCCCGAGCTGCTCGGTGAGCAGAGAGATGGGGGCCGCGTTAGCCCAACCCTGCGGGAACCCAGGCGTGTCCCTGAGCACCAAGCTCCCCAGCTCTGTCTGGAAGGGGAAATGGGACTAGGGGGAGGAAACACCTTAGAAACAAGGAGGAGCCCGCACCTACGAAGGAAAGAGGCAGGACGGCCTAGCCACACCTGGCTTTGGGGTTTCACCCTTGGCAGAACCCTTTTCCTGAATTTAGCTGATCCTTACCAAACCCTGTGAGGTAGGTGACGTAGGTGCTGTTATGACAGCAATGCCAGAGCAGCCCAGGTGAGGCACAGCAGGTCTGGGAAAGGTTCCATCTCCCTGCCCCTCCCTTCCAGACCCCCCTCCCCTCCCACCAGTGGCCAGCAGAGCGTTCTCTCCCCCTCCGCCCCCCCCACTGGGGCTGAACTCAAGAAGCCACCTGTCTTGAGCCACCACCTTCAAAAAAGCCTTTCATTCCATCATAATGGGGCAAGACGCCCAGGCCGCCCCACCCTTGGGGTGGATCAGGCGTCTGCCTCCCCATTGGGTTTTGAGGTACATCAAAAGAGCTCCCTGAACCAAAATAGCTCTCACCGGCCCTGCCTGGTACCCTGAACTCACCCCAGGAGAGCTTCCTTGGAGGTTAGGGCATTGTGCCTCCACGGCGCCTGCTCAAGGTGCACCTGTGAACTTGGGCGGGCCTCTGGGACTGCGGCCTCTGGCCCCGACACCAGCGTTTGCTCTCTGGCACTCCGTGCATTGCAACAGACCTTGCTTGATGCCACCAGCTGATGGGACTGGGTTGCCTCCAGAGAGTCCTATGGGAATGGGGCACGGGATGGAGAGGTTTTGATTGTGGGCGAGAGGGGGCTGATAGGTATGCAGAGTGACTTGGACAGCGACATCCAGGATGGTGGAGGTGTGGGGGCGCTGAGAAGGGTGGGGACACACACTTTGCCAGAGTAGAGGAGACCCTGGCTCCAGAAAGGAAGCCATGAGCTTTCCCGGGGTGCCAGGAAATAGACGAGGGGCAAGTGGATGGGCTGGGCGAGGAGGGGTCCGTGCCTGCCGAGGGAGCCATTTGTGAGGGCTCTCTGGGTCATGGGTGTTGCCCTGTAGAAGCCGCAGAAGAAAACGTGACGGCATGGGAACGTGCCTGTGATCTGGTGATAGCGAGGAAAGATTACAAAACAGAACACGCAGTGTGACTCCTGTTTTGTAAGAGCCGCTGCCAGCCAGCAAGCCGGCCACAGCTGTTCCTCTGTGTGGAGGATGACTTGCATTGCTTCCCAGAGTCTATGTTGCCCAGGTTTTCTGCAGTGAAAAGAGATCCCTGGCCCATCCACCCCCCTAAAATCAGGAAGAGAGTTACTTTAGGCATAGGATTCATGGACTGCGGACTGATTGCTTATGAAGGTCTCCGGTGTTGGCACCCCACGCGCTGCAGGGAAGTGGAAGCTGTGGTCCCTGCTCTCAATTTGCCCTGAACCCAGGTCCGGCCCAGGGTACAGTCCTTGCAGAAGATCACGGGGTACAGACACAGACTCTCTGGGTTCCAATCCCTCTTCTGCCGCTGTGTGACCTGGGCCAGCGGCACGACCTTCCTGCCTTGGTTGCTGCATCTGTGAAATGGGGATAATAATAGTACCTGCCAGGATTAGTTGAGCTGATATGTGTGAACGCTGAGAAGTAATCACAGCCTAAGTGCCAGCTGTTACGGCCATTAGTGGTTAAGAGCTTCGCCTCTGGAGCCAGCCTGTCTGGGTTCAAATCCTCGGTGTCTCCGTCTGGCTTGGGAAATGATTTCATCTCCATCTCCACCTCAGTTTCCTAATCTGTAAAATGGGGATGAAAGTAATTGTGCCTCATTCATGAAGTGAGTAATGGTGAAAATTAACCAAGTAACTATGGATAAAGCACTCAGAACAGAGCCTGGCACATAGAAAGTGCTTAGTAAATACGAGCTACTTTAATGCTAATTGTTATTATTATTATTATTATTGGGCGAGGCAGGGAATGGAGAACCACACAGCACCCTGTGGAGGTCCCGGATGCATCAGAAGGCTGAGTTCCCTCTCCTGTACTACCCACCAGCACAGGTAATTCTGGTCCTTTAAGTGTTGAAATGACTGAGACCAGTGTTGTGGCAAAGCAGGTTAAATTGCTCGATAACACCATCCCATATCAGAGCATGGGTTCGAATCCCTGCTCTGCTTCCAATCCCATTCCCTACTAATGCACCCAGGAGGCCAGCCAAAGATGGCCCAAGCACCGGGGCCCCTGACATCCACATGAGAGACCAGCGTGGAGTTCCTGGCTCCTGGCTTCAGCCTGACCCAGACCTGGCTGTTGCAGCCATTTGGGGTGTGAACCAGCAGATGGAAGATCTCTTTCTCTCCTTCTCTCCTTCTCTCTCTCTGTCACTCTGCTTTTCAAATAAATATTTTTTGAAAGATTTATTTATTTATTTTAAAGGTAGAGTTATAGAGAGGCAGAGGCAGACTGGTTCACTCCCCAAATGGCCACAATGGCTGGGGCTGAGCTGATCTGAAGCCAGGAGCCAGGAGCTTCTTCCAGGTCTCCTATGTGGGTGCAGGAGCCCAAGCACTTGGACCATCCTCCACTGTTTTCCCAGGCCATAGCAGAGAGCTGGACTTGAAGAGGAGCAACTGGGACTTGAACTGGCACCCACATGGGATGCCAGCGCCATAGGCACTGGTCTCTCAACTAAATAAACCTTAAAAAAACAAACCATGATTGCCAGGTGCCATCCCTGCCCCCAACCCCATGGCCTCCCCGGCACCTCTGCAGCCACACACGGGTGGATTTGTGGCGAAGCAGATGAAGGAGGCTTGCAGCACTCGCGTTTGCGTGAGAGGTGCCCTGGCCGTGTCTATTTGTAATCATGTCTTCTTTTTCATACAGGGTTGTATCATTGCACAGACTTCAGCCCCACCAAGCAGGAAGCCTTCCTTGGTTTTAGGAAGGGGATTCCAGTTCAGAGTCTCAAGACCCTATCCTTGGCCAGCGCCACGGCTCACTAGGCTAATCTTCCACCTAGCGGCGCCGGCACACCGGGTTCTAGTCCCAGTCGGGATGCCGGATTCTGTCCCGGTTGCCCCTCTTCCAGGCCAGCTCTCTGCTGTGGCCCGGGAGTGCAGTGGAGGATGGCCCAAGTGCTTGGGCCCTGCACCCCATGGGAGACCAGGAGAAGTACCTGGCTTCTGCCATCGGATCAGCGCAGTGCGCCGGCCGCGGCGGCCATTGGAGGGTGAACCAACGGCAAAGGAAGACCTTTCTCTCTGTCTCTCTCTCTCACTGTCCACTCTGCCTGTCAAAAAAAAAAAAAAAAAAAAAAAGACCCTCTCCTCTGACATCCAGCCCCTCTCCTTCGCCTGGTCACCAGAGCCCTGCCCTAGGCAGTATTTTGGCCCACATGAGCCTGTTTACCTTTGTTATTGGACTGTAGTATCTCACGTCTCCTCCTGTGGGCAGAGTCTCTACGTGTCATCAGTGAGGCTGGGAAGAGATTAAAAAAGGAGATTTATTTATTTGAATGGCAGAGTTACAGAGAGAGAGGGAGAAAGAGAGAGGTCTTCCATCCCCTGGTTCACTCCTCAAATGGCCTCAACGACTGGGGCTGGGCCAGGTCAAAGCCAGGAGCCAGGAGTTTCTCCCATGTCTCCCACATGGGTGCAGGGGCCCAAGCACCTGGGCCATCTTCCATGCTTTCCCAGGCCATCAACAGGGACCTGGAACAGAAGTGGAGCAGCCAGAGCCCATATGGGATGCTTGCGCTGCAGATCGCAGCTTAACCCACTATGCCACAATGCCAGACCCCCGAAATAGCTTTAAAACAATTTTTGGGGGGCTGCCATCTGCAGTGCCAGTATTCCATATGGACACCTGTTCAAGTCCCTGCTGCTCTGCTTCTGACCCAGATCCCTGCTAATGGCCTGGGAAAAGCAGGGAAGGATGGCCCAAGTGCTTGGGCCCCTGCAGCCATGTGGGAGACCCTGATAAATGCTCTTCGCTCTTGGTTTTGGCCTGGCTTAGCCCTGACCATTGTAGCCATTTGGTGAATGAACCAGTGGATCTATTTCTCTCTTTCTTCCTCCTCTCTCTCTGTAAATCTGCCTTTAAAATAAAATAAATAAATCTTTAAAAAATATTTCATTTGAAAGGCAGAGGCAGAGAGAGAAAGTATTCCATCTGCTGGTTCACTCCCTATATGGCTGCAATGGCCAGAGCTGTGCCGATCCAAAGCCAGGAGCCAGGAGCTTCTTCCAGGTCTCCTGCGTGGGTGCAGGGGCCCAAGGACTTGAGCCATCCTCCACTGCTTTCCCAGGCCATAGCAGAGAGCTGGATCAGAAGTAGAGCAGCCGGGACTCAAACTGCTGCCCATATGGGATGCCTGCACTGCAGGCAGTGGCTTTACATGCTATGCCACAGTGCCAGCCCCTAAGAAATTAAAAAAAAAATTATTTAAAAGGCAGAGAGAAAGAGAGAGAGAGAAAGACTGATAGCTTCCATGTGCTGGTTCACTCTCCAAATCCTGCAACAACTCCAGGCGGAAGCCAGGAGTTTAGAAGTTCACCTGAGGCCAGCGCTGCGGCTCAATAGGCTAATCCTCTGCCTAGCGGCGCCGGCACACCAGGTTCTAGTCCTGGTCAGGGCGCTGGATTCTATCCCAGTTGCCCCCCTTCCAGGCCAGCTCTCTGCTGTGGCCCGGGAGTGCAGTGGAGGATGGCCCAAGTGCCTGGGCCCTGCGCCCCATGGGAGACCAGGAGAAGCACCTGGCTCCTGGCTTCGGATCAGCACAGTACACCAGCTGCAGCAGCCATTGGGGGGTGAACCAACGGCAAAGGAAGACCTTTCTCTCTGTCTCTCTCTCTCACTGTCCACTCTGCCTGTCAAAAAAAAAAAAAAAAAAAAAAAAAAAAAGAAGTTCACCTGAGTCATGTGGGTGGTAAGGACCTAAGCATTTGAGCCATCGCCACTGCCTCCCAGGGGCCACGTTAGCTGGAAGCTGAAGCTAGAGGTGGGAATGGAACCCAGGCACTCCTGCGGGACACTGGCATCTTAACCACCAGGCTAACAGCTCACTCCCTGGGCTGGTGATGAATGAATGAATGAATGAATGAATATTCCTTGGTTGTTTTGTTCTTGAGGAAAACCGAAAGGGAAATGGCTCAGTCCTGGAGTGGAGCCCATCTCTTGGAAGACAGGAGAAGCAGAAAGGTGTTTGGAATCTGTCTAGGACAGGAAGCCCCCCCAATCCTGGAGTGATTGGCAGCTCCAGAAGCCAATCAGGAAGGAAGTTAGGAAACCCTGCCGGGTCTAGAGCCTTGAGCAGCCGCTGAAATGGATGCGCAGTCACACGTGGGTGCTTTG